TTAATATGTCTTCTAGGAACTTCTGCACTAGTGTGGAGCTGCATGGCCTCAAAAAGAGCATTCTCAGCACCCTGGCATGAAGATGAAATAGAGAGACTTCTAGGCTGACCCTATGGGACAATGTGAACTCCAGGACACTGCCTAGATCTCTGCTTTACTTTCATTTTGGTCTCTTCCCACACCTTCTATCTGTTTAGTTCTGGGTCCAACTCCACCCTGAGGATCTTCTTTGTAATTTGCCTTGCTTGTAAAGGAGATGGGGCAATCTTTAAAGATGTGCCCCTCTTCCCTGCACAGGTTGCAGTGCCAGTCCTGCTTACAGTCCTTGGCTTCCTGCCCTTTTTTCTTTGCACATGGCACAGATTTTATTTAAATATCTCTGCTCACTGCATTTACAGCAGAGCTTAGGCCATTGGCGACGCATAGGGGATGCATGCAGCCATGCCCCCCACTAAGAGAAGCACCGGCAGCACTTCCAGTTTTGCTGCTGGCACTTCTGCCAGTCAGTGATTGGCTGCTGGGGGATCCACACCCCCCACACCCCCTGTGTCAATGATCAGCCACTGGTGCCCCCCCAGTATTAAGAGGCAACAGTCGCCCATGGCTTAGGCTGCCCCCGGTAGAAGACAAAGTCTCTGTGGAAGCCGACGGAGATCATTCTGGGGACCCCAGCCCCTGCCTCTGCCTGTCCCTGCTCTGGCTGGGAAGAAGAGGGGCGGGGCCAGACTTTCTGGGCTGCAGCAGAGAGCCCACCCCAGAGAGCATGTTGGGATGCTGGGGGTCTCTGGTTTAACTTAAACCAGCAAGGAGTCTGTGATAGACATCACATAAGCCAGGTTGAGCCAAATCAGTTCAGTCTGATACTACATTCAGTGGCTATGCGTAGGGGGTGCATGGGGGTGCATGTCCCCTGAGAGTGCTGGTGCACCCCCTGACCAGCCACGCTCACCGCTTAGGCGATAGGCAGGCGGGAGCACCGGTGACCCACACTGCAAGTGCCAGCCAATTGCTGGAGCTACTCCCAGAACCAGCTGTAGCCATTCCCGGAAGTGGCTGCAGTGATTGGCTGCCACGGGATTGGCTACGGGGGTCCCCATGGGCAGTGAGATCAGCCGCAGGGGGACCCTCCCCCTGGTCAGCAGAATTTGCCCCCTCCCCTGCAGTGCCGCAGGGGGGACCCCCCCCCCCCCAGTCAGCGAGACTGGTCACGGGGAGCAAGTGACTAAAGTGACTTGAGTTGCCCACAACTACGTTCAACCAGGTTTATCTCAAACCGGTTTCAGCCATTTTGAAACTGGTTTATGTGCACTGAATGTCTGTTGTTACAGGTTTAAACCAGTTTCTGTCCCTAGCCTGGGAGAAAAGCACACAGCAGAGCTAAGTAGCAGATGGAAGCAGTAACAGATGGAATCTGCTTCTCTCATAAAGGCTGAGGCAGAGTACCATGATACCCAAAAGCTTGCCTATGTCTATCCCAACCACACTGTCGTTCCAATAAAAGATATCACCCACAGGAATTCTTGTCCCTCACACATTTCCTTGGACCATCACTGCAACTACATCACCTCAGCACTACCATAACTGTGTACATTTATTTATGTGTGATTAGATTTATATGCAACCCTTCCCCAAAAAGGCTCAGAGAGGTAATACAAGGCAAAAAATTACAAAAGCAGAATAAAATATTAAAATAAAATACAAAAATATTGTAAATTATAATAATATTGTAAAATATTATTAAAATATTGTAAAATATTAAAATAAACTACAAAAATATTGTAAAGTATAATAATATTGTTAAATATTATAAAAATATTGTAAAATATTATAATAAAATACAAAAAAGATCCCTCCACCCCCAGCTTCCCAAGCAGTCTACCCTACCTCCTTCTGCTACCTAGCTTCTGACCAAGGCTACCCCCTTCTCCCATCCACCTAACCCAGCCTCCCTTTGCAACCCACAGAAGACAGCAGCCATTTTTTTTTCTGCCCTGCACATCCCTACCCACTCCCACTCCTCTGCCCCACATGCTGGGGAGTCCTCTCCCTCCTTTACAGTCTCTCCCAACCATACCTCCTTCTTCACAGGAGGACCATAGCTATCCCCAAACCCACTCATCTCCTTCCACTGCCCCTTAAGATGCATATTATTCAAAACCTAAACAATAACAAAGGGATATCATGCTGCCCCATCTCTGTTCCTGCCAAAGGAGACCCTCGCGCAGCATCCTATGACTCTCCATGGTTAGAGAATGGCTTGAGGCAGGGGTAGAGAATGGCTTAAGGCAAGAGTTCTCAACCTTTTTGGACTTCAGGCACTCCTTCATAACTATTGTGAGTTGAGGGGCACCCAGTTTCAAAAGCTGATGTGACGGGCTAGCTAGCAGTGATCTAGCCCAGGGGTTTTGAAAGGGCAAAAGATGATTGGAGGACTTGGGATTCCCTTTCCTCACTAATCAGGCCCAGAGATTCACCCCTCATGTCCCCTGATTGGCCCCTTGGGCCACCTGGAGGGGGATAAAAGGGGCAGCACGGCTGACTCAGGGAGAGACCAGTGAGGGACTATGAGGAAGGAGCTTTGAAGAGCTGAGCCAGTGGGGCAGAAGCAATTGCCCCAGAAGAGCCTGAAGGAGCAGGACCAGCAGGCAGCAGTTGGCCCCTCAGCAGCACGGTGTGTGGCCGGCAAGAGTGGCATCCTGCTGGGCTCCAGGATCCCCTACAAGAGGCTGTGGCCAGCAGGAGAATCTGAGCAGCGACTTAAGGGGTCCCAGCTTGGCTTCCAGCTCCTCCAATCAGAGGTCAGGCAGCTTGACACGAGGCCAGGGCTCCAGGAAGATCAAGACCCCTAGCAGCTTGGAACAATACTAGCAGTGGTGGCTGTGTAGCAGTGTTCCTGCCTACCATGTGGGAGATCTGAGTTCAAGTCCCAGCTTTGGTGACTTAGGGTGAGTGAGCTAATGAGGGGAAATTCCTCTTGCAGTAAACAGGAGCCATTGTATTTTTCCTCCCCCTCCAGGTGACCCAGGCCCTATATTTCTTCGTCCTTTGACATTTTGTATTTTGTGCCTTTTTATATTTCCCCAACCAATATTGTTTGCTCTGTTGTTTGTATTTTGTGTTTTATATTTTGTTAACCCTGTCTTTTGCCAATGATTGTAAGTGTCTAACCTTTGTTGAATCCTGCCCCTTGGGGCATTGTGGTGTCCACTATACCCCCCTGATTATGCCTGTTATGTTCCCTCATTAAAAGGTATGGTTAAGTCCCCAGTGGTGGTCTGGCTCTGCTCTATAGGGGGAGGAGAATCCTTACACCTCCCACAGCGCTTGTGCACCTGCTCTGATCCCTTCAATTGGAGAGGGGGTACCTTTTGGAGTACCGCCCGGGTTACACTAATTTATATATTACAGATCTTATTGCCTTGCAGAGGAGCCAGGCAATGGGAGTGGGACATAAGCCAGGTGGGGACAAGGTTGAGCATGCCCTTATCTGCTTAGCTCCTCATGCATCATGACACCCTTCACATAGGGTTGCCAACTCTGTTTGAATCTATTCCGGGAGGTTTCCAGAACACCAGGGTGCCCACAACATACAACACAAATATGCCTGAGTGCTTGCGTATGTCAGTTACAGATTACGGTGCATAGACTTTACATCAGGAAGGCAAACACACATTACTATTACATTTTAAAAACCCGCTGGACTACTGTATAAATCAGATTCAATATTTATTTTAATGAATGCCCTTTCATTTATCTCCCAGGTGACTCTCAGCAGTCTCCTGGAGATTTATATCTAATTCCTGGAGACTCCAGGGCAATCCTGTAGGGTTGACAACCCTACCTTCAGAGGATCTGGCAGCGCCCCCAAGTGCTGCGGCTCCACAGTTGAGAAGAACTGGCTTATGGGGACAAGACTCCAGGTGGAGGAAGGGGTGTGGGGAAAGTTGCTGTTCATCTGCTGCCTTGGAGGCTGCAAGTGAGAGAGCAACAGTGGAAAAATTCTGGTCATGCCGTTCACTCTGTTTTGGCAACCGCTCTCTGCCACTGTGTGGCACAAGCCTATTTGACGTGCATTGGGAACATAGGCCAATGCCCACCGAGCGAAGCTAACACGAGTCTGGGCAAGAGGGACCCAGAGCCTGACCCAGCGAATGGCAGCTCTTATGTTCTGGTGGGTTCATGCATGGTGCTTCCATGACCCCAGAGGGAAGGGGCACAATGACACGTAAGATCAGTGTTGCCAGGTGCCTGATAATTATTGTATTTGTACAATAATTCCAACTGTTGTATGATGCAAGATCAGTAACAGTGAAAATGTACGATCATTTTTTGAGCCAGCTAATTAATGCAGTATGTGCAAACCTCAAGTCATTCTCAGGGAGTCTTAACCAACTCCTGGGTTTGCTGTCAGCACTTCCTCATGAGTGCTCGCCTCCAAATCAAGAAACGCTTCAGCTTTGACCCAGCTCTCACTGACTGGGGGATACAGCAAGCAAGAGAAAGTAAATAAGGCTAATTTGCATATTTTTTCAGTGTACGGTCACTTTTTTCAGCACGTGATAATTTTGAGCTTCCAATTTCAGATTTGAATAAGAGTACGGATCGTTGCATATTTAAGACCAGACAAGGATGCCTATGATTCCCTGTGTGGAGGGGCATTTATGTCCTCATGAGGCCAGGACTGTTCTGGACTTTAACCCTGTTTGTCCGAAACGCGGGCACATATCAAGGGGATCCGCACTGTGGGGGCACCCAATGGAACTGCCTGAAGCCTCTGCTCCATCCCGCAGCAGGGAAGACGTTGCGTCGCCATCGCCCCTCACCACACGATAGCGGGGCAGGCGGCGCCGCTTTTTCCCCCGTCCCCGCCTCAGAGCCCTGGGCGCGAACCAGCCAATCGCGTCGCAGGAGCTGCAGCATTCGGCCCAATCAGAGCGCTTCCCACCTCACGCAGCCTAAAGTTCCCCGCGTGGCGCACGCGCGAGGGTGGCGGCGCCGCTATGTCGGACTGGGAGGCAGACAGCGATGGCGATGGCGATGGCGACGGCGGGGGTAGCGGGGCCGCTGCCCTGCCCGAGCGCCCGCCCGTGCCCGAAGCCGGCTCCGCCGCCGCCCGGGGGCCCCGGACCTGGCAGCGCCGCGGGGAGCAGGGCGTGAAGCCGCTGCGATTCCGCCTGGACAGCACCGTCATCGGGGCGCTCATAGGTGCGGAGCGCCGTGACCCTCCCCCGCTCCACGCGCATGCACAGGCCGGCGGAGGCGAGAGCTGCCCAGCGCTGCAAGGGGACGGGCGGGCCAGGCGCCTCCTGCCGTGGGGTGGGCATTCCCCAGTGTGTCTGCCTTACACCCTCGTGTGTTTGCCCTGGGGTGTTCTCTGTCTCCTGCCCCTTCTCTGGAGCTTCCACAAACCTGCTCCCTTAAAGTTGCTGGTGGGCTGGGAACTGCCCTTCCCCTTCTCGGGGAAATGTAAGGGCCTTGTTACAGGGTAATTTGGGCACTCCTGGAACTTTGAGCCCCTGGATTGTCCCTCTGTTAACACCTGAAACTAGTTTGAAGCACCGGTTAAATGGCTCAAAATTATGCCACCCTGAGGCAGGATTATCAAATCTGTGCTGCCTGGCTTGTGTGGCACTAAGGTAGAACTGCTCCAGGCTATGTGTTAGTGTGAACACTTCCCCCACCCCCTGCTGGCCTGGATCTGGCCCACTGCTCCCCCCACCCCACTTTATTTTCTGCTATCCATGCTGTCTGCCCCAGGGGAGCAGAGTTAACCAGCTGCCCAGCTGCCTGTGTTACTGCTCTAGGCTGGGCTCAGGTGCAGAAGAACAGCAAGCAGGCTGGGCTGGGCTGGCAGATAAACCCTTCCCTGCCTGTTTCTTCAGAACAAGCAGCCACAAGTAAAGGGAAAGGGGGAGCAGTGGGCTGGTCTGGACCATGGAGGGGAAGCCTGGAATGGGGCAGGGGGATGCTTACCTTTCAGTTCTCCAGGCCTCTGCTGGCCTGAACATGTGACTGCTCTAAACTGGAGCTAGCATTAATGCCAGTCAACATTTGGCAGCTCACAGTATGAGATGTAATTAAAGCCCTTAGATGTTCATTTTGGTGGCAGAGTAAAAAAACAATTCTAATGGCAGTGACTGATACTTTTGAGATGCAGGGCCTGGTGGGATGAGGGCAGGATTGCTGTAATCTGTGCAATGTGTTTTATAACAGGTCGAGGGGGAGCTAAAATAAGGGAACTGGAGGATTTATCGGGGTCAAGAATCCAGGTAAGGCACGCCATGCTTGAGCAAGTGTTTTTGTTGTGGCTCTGTCCAGAACGCGCTGATTCTTCTTAGAGAATCATAGCAGAGAAGTAGGGCTGGAAGGTATCTCTTGAGGTCATCTAGTCTAACCCCCTACCTGAGGCAGGATTATCCCTCGCCAAACCATCTTGTACAAATCCAAAACTACACAGTCAACCGTGATATAACACCTTAATCCAGGGGTGGGCAAAATGCAGCCTGTGGGCCAGATGCGGCCCACCAGGCCATTCAATCCAGCCTGTGGGGCCCCTAAAAATTTTAGAAAATTAATATTTGTCTGCCCCTGGCTGCCTCTCATGTGGCCCTCGATGGCTTGCCAAAACTCAGTAAGCGGCCCTCCACCCAAAATAATTGCCCACCCCTGCCTTAATCGGCCCTGGGTAAAGCAGGGGGACCATGATAGCCAACATCTTGTTCTGCAGCAAAGGTTGCCAAAAATGTTCTTCAAGAGATTCCAAAAGGGCCAGAGGAAGGCAACCCCCCCCTGCAGTCTGTGCTAATCTAACCATGGGATAAAATTTCTTCTTGACCCCAAATAAGGCAATCAGTCTGACCCTGAGTGGAGGGGCAAGACCCTCTAGCTTGGAACCTCATGACAACTCCTAGCAGGAGCATTAGTATAGCTCATTCCCAATCTCCAACCTTGGCTGTAGCCAACATCCAGTGCCTCTGAGGATGGCTTAAAAAAAACAACAACACTGACACACAGCTGCAGGAGGGGAAAAAATTCCTTCCTTGCCCCACGTGGCAACCACTAAAGCCTAGAAGCATTATCCAGAGTAATAGCTGTAGGGTTAACTGAGAGACTTACTTGACCAATTCTTTGTCATGAGGTTACTTATGTTATCACTGTTACACCTAGTCTTTTCTGGGGGGGAGGGGAGAACAATAAAGAACAAGAAAATGAGCGCACACATTTATTTCATCTGTAAAATACAGTTTGATAATGTGGTGTTTCCTTTTCTTTTAAGTGACAATTAGAATGAACAAAATATAAAATTTGAAATCCCATCTTTTGTTATACATCTCGCTTAATAGCAAACTTAAAGAAAAAACAATGAATGGAATTATATGCATATGTTATAATTTATGAGTGGAGTGCTACCTAATAATGTACAGCTTTCTAAATCTAGATTATAAGGGGAGAACATGAGGCTGAAGTAAAGATTTTTGGCAATGATGTTACACAGAACAAAGCAAAAATGTTGATTGATGATCTTGTTAAAAAGTGCAGCCAAACCTACCCAGCAGAAAGAACTGAGAAAGGTAAGAAATATATGCTGCACCCAGGGTCTTTCCTGAATCAAGTGCTTTTTAATAACATTGGAATTGTAATTTGTGCTGAGGTGGGGGTTATGGGCTGTACTGTAATACAAGAACTTTTGCTTTAAGCAACCTTACATTGGCATTATCTGGAATCATTAAAGCCTAAATAAAGTTAGGGTATCTTCTTTAACTCTATACATGGCATATATACTGGTCCCATGCACCTTCAGCAAATATAGAAATATACCATGTCACAGTCTTTACTTCATTGCATAATAATTCTTTACATGTATATGGTCACTGCACTTAAAGATGTGGACAAATAAGTGTCCAACAAAGAGCAGCAAAAGCGATTGGAGGTCTGGGAAGCATGACATACAAGGAAAGGCTGAAAGAACTGGTGTTAATTAATCTTGAGAAGAGAAAGTAAACTTCAGATATCTGAAGGGTGTGTATGAAAAGGATGATAGACTGTTCTTTGGACAGCGAGAACAAGACGAGTAGTAGTCTTAGATTACAGCAAAGGAAATGTAAGAGAAACATCAGGAAGAACTTTGGCTTTTAGGTTAAGCATTGTGACATGCTACCTATAGAGGTGGAATCTTCCATCTCTGGAAGAGATGAGTAGGTTTGTCCACCCTTGTTAGAAATTATTGCATATTGGACTAGATGACCTTCAGAAGTCCCTTCCAGCTCTACTTATTTATGCTTTTGTATTAGGCAACACAGCATAGGTCAGTGGTCTCCAGCCTTTTTAGCTTGGAGGTCACTTTTGGAATTTAAGAGGAACTGAAGATCTACCCCCCCCACACACACACACTCCTGCGTAGCAGGTAAGTGTGGGAGGGGGGAGGGGAAAGGGCCAGGTTGGGGGGGCAGGCATGGCAGATTGAAGCCCCAGTCCTACCCTACTCCCTCCCTCACTGCTGGGGCCTCAATTCCCCCCCCTGTCCTTCCGTCCTTCCCCACCCCCAGCAGCAGTGAGGGTAGGGTAGGCGACAGAACCAGGAGCGGCTCTTACAGGGGGAGGGGGCATGGCACCGGGGGGGTGGCACATGCCCCTGGATCTGCACATCCGGGGAAGCTCCGGGCTCTTCCTGGCTGGGCTGTGCTCAAACCAAGCAGCTGTAGTGGAGGCGCTGGGAGCAGGGCGTCCCCACTTCCAGCGTCACCACTGTCCAAGCCGAGTGCAGTGCAGGCCTGGCCCAGTGGGAACCGGCGCAGCCTTGTAGACTGCATCTGTCCTCCCCCTTCACCTGCCAGCTGCCGACTCCCGTGTCTCTGGGGAGGGAGTGGGAAGGCTGCACCGGGCTGTTCCTGCTGGGCCTGGCCCGTGCTGGTGGTATGGTCCCCCACCCCATGGCCGCACTCCCCGCTGCTGCAGCCACCCAGCTTGAGCACAGCCTGGCTGAGAAGAGCCCAGAGCATCCCTGGCCCCAGCCTGCCCTGCCTTGTGTGCAGATCCTCTCCCACCCTCCCAGGCTGCGTGCCCCCATTCCTGCATCCCCCAGACAAGCCACTTGTGGCTCCCTACCTCATCCCACCCTGGCTGTGCAGGGCCTGCTCCCACTCCCTACCTGCAGCCACCAGTGCTGCCCCGCGTTTGGAGGGGCACATGCCCCCCGATCTGTGCGCAGTGGAGGTGGCTGTAGCTGCAGTCTGGGCTTTGTGCCCTGAGCCCCGCTGCACATGCCCCCTGGGCCTCCACCTTTTCCCTCCCCCACGGACTGATCTGCTGGGCTAGAGGGGTGGGCATGCACACATGACATGCTCAGTCAGCCCAGGATCAACTTCAAGAGGCTCTGATGACCACTGACATAGGTAAATTGCATGGGTTTTTGCCATGAAAAGAGTAAAGTAGGCCTACAGCCCCCAGGCACACACTGTGCCATGTTGACTTCTACTCTTCCCCCACTGTAATGCACCAGTGCCCTGAGTCTCCAGGCTGCTGACTGCAGGTGGGCCTGCTCCCAAGGGTGGGGGCAGGCAGCAAAAGATAGAGGAGGCCCAAGGACCCTGGGAGCAGAGCCTAGTGGCCACAGCTTAACCCACTGTGGGCTGCATGTGGTGCCAGTCGGACAGCTGTGGAGTAAAAGATCAAGTAAGGTTTCATGCTACAGTGTAATAAAGTGAGAAATATGATGTGTATTATTCTTATACTTATGTTGTATATATCTGAGTAACAGCTGTTTTGCATTGAAAATTTGGTTCTGTGCTTATTGCTGTTTTGTCTGTTTGTAAGCTGGCAAAGGCTATGTGCATCTTCAGGTCTGGTCTGAGGAACTGAAGGGGAAGGCAGAAGTTGGAGCTGAGAGTTGGGTTCCACATTTTTGAGAGGGTAGAAATAGAATTTTTAAGAGTTGTGTACTTTGGTAGAGGTAACTGTGATGCCTGGAGACAGTAGTAAACTAGCAGCTAGAAATACTCAGTATTGGGTTCTTTAAACTTCCAGGATATGTTGCAGCTAATTGCAAGCTGCTGTTTAGGAGCACAGTAAACCAACTGAGGATGAGGTTGAGAGACAGCACTAAATTTTGGGACTCGAGTATCCATGTTGCATATAGTTAATATCTCTCCCAAAAAAGTTTTAATTTAATAAATCAATTTAAATAAAGGCATTATACATGTCTGATATCTTTGGGGAAATTTAGTCATGCTTTTGTTAACTGTTGCAGAAACTTTTTCAGGGGTTTAAAGAAGCAGTATTTCTGTCTGCCACTCTGAGAATTCAGTTCCTATTTTATTCCACTTTACATACAGTTCCTCAAAACCCAAGTAAGCCTTCATTCTACCTGATTGGTCTGCTTGGGACTTGCTGGAAATCCTATCAGTGTTTCTCTTAACTAACCAAAGATTGGTGAAGTGCCCCACACTCCCAACCTCTTCCCTTTTTTTTGCCTTTCCTAAAAATGCATCTGCAGATCTTTCTGGCCTGAAATAAAATTGTTTGTAGATTTATCATCTATTTCTCAAGAAAGGACTTATCCCAAATCCTTATTTTTCTATTTTTCCCCCCCTCTCCAGCAGCATTCTTCAAACATCAGGATTTCAGCTATAATAATTCCCAGGACAGTAGTTGTGATTTTGTAAAGTGTAGAAATGCCCCACAGAAATCAGTGATTGACTGGACATCTCTACGAGAAAATAAAGCTAGATATGAAGCCATGAAGTGGGCAGGTTAGTATTGCAAGTTTTGGAAGAGTATGTGATCCTGGGCTTGAAAATATGGTCTTAGATATCTTGCACTTAACAAATCTGTTACAGGTGGAAATCATTTTAGCTTATGATGTATTGACAGAGCTGCATGTTCTTCACTGTCTGAATCTTGTTGGACATGGAGTGTCTTCTTCCCACTGCCACTCACAGGCATGTTCCACACTTGGAAATATACTGGTAAAGATCTATCTGCGTGCTCTTGGTAGTAGTGGCCATCTTTAAGGGCCTAAGTGAGGTTGGAAGAAGGCCCATTTATACTATTAGACTGGTGTAAACTTGGCAACTGTTAAGGAGAGTGTTTAAATAATTACATAAATTTATTAGGTTAAGTAAGGAAGGCATAACAATACAGCTTTCTAGAAAGTCTTAGATGAAAGTTTTTAATTCCTAGCAAAGTATTAATAAATAATCAAAATTGCATAGAAAGCATATACCTCAAGGATGTAGACTTAGGTATATTGTTAAAAGTGAATTACGTGCCATGTGTATTGCTGTATTGTAAAAATAATCTCATGCTACATTTAGTTAAAGAGTTAGAAACTTTAGGGGTGAGTAAAAAAGGGGTAGCCCTGTTACTGAGTCTGTGAAGGAAAGGAAACAAGAAAGTGATGAGGAGGCACTCCAGGCCAGCCAAGGAAAGAATAAGAAGTCCTCCTCAAATCAGGAACTACAAATTCTGGCCAATTTGCACCTTCCAGGATTACTGAAGAATAATTAGTTGCCAGGGGTCCCAGGAATATGATGAAACTTGAAACAAGTCATCTTGAAGTTCTGTTAGAGATAACAGTGTGTGCACATGGGCTACATCAGGGTTGTCCGACTTGTGGCCCATGGGCTGTGGACAGCCTGCCTGGAGTTAACTTGTGACCTGTGGGCTTCCACACAGCTATTCTTCCAGCTACTCTTTCTGCTGCTGCTAGGGTCCCTGGGCTCCCTCTCCTTTTTCTGGCTTCTGTTTCCTGCCCCGGGGATAGAGAGTTGCTTTCACGATCTTGTCTTCCCTATGTTGGTCCTCTGCTAGCTGAGAAAATGGGTAAGAGTCAGCTTGAGAAGCACTTGGATAAGCATACATCTTGGAGGTGATTAATTCTTTGTATATATGCTACAGGCAACTTCTGTGTGTGGTGTGCAAGCCCTGGATGGTCTGTCAAGGGAAGTACCAGAATGCAGGCAGGGGTGCTCAAGCCTCTACATAGAGCAGCAGGAACAGGAGCTACATAGCATAATAATAATAAACATAGAGCTACATAGAGCAGCAGGAACAGGATATTGCTGTGAGACGAGGTGTCATTCCAAGAGCCAGGTTTATGTAGGCGTTATTGCCAAGAGCCAGGTTAACCATTCCCTAATCCTGCAGATACTACTGAATTCTGGGTTTTGGATTTTCACTCATTATAAAACTGCAGTGATTGCAGGGCCAGGGAAGGAGTGACACCTCTCACAGCAGCATCCTGCCTCTATTCTACTATGTGGAGAGGGGACACAGCTTAATTTACAGCACATCTGCCAAAAAGGTTGGCCACTACTGGTGTATCTTGTGCTTTGGGAATACACAAAAAAGCTGGGTTGTAGACCTGCCTTATGTCTTTATTGATGGTTAACCAATCAAGTCATGAGTATCTTTGTTGTTATTTTTCTGTGCTTGTGTGTGGGAATAGCTAGGCAGTGGCAGGGTACGCCACCGCGATGGTATAGACATGCTCTGTCTATGAGTGGTTCTCAACCTTCATAGGGATGCCAGGGCATGGGTGCTGCAGCCAAGGTGGTGGCCAGGTGAGAAGTCCATGTACATCAGGAAGAGCTGTGGAATGCATATGTTCTCTTGCCTTACTGGTTCTCTGATAGCTCTGAAACAGGAAGGAGAGTTGACTAATGCTGCAGCCCCTACTGGTCTGCACCTTCCATCTCCACCTCTCCCCTCCCCAACGTTCCTCAAAGAAACAGGCAGACGGTACAGTTCCACCTGCCCTATGTATCTGTTTCTCAGCCCCCGATAGGTGTTAAAAAAAAGATGCAATGGGATTTGATGTGCAATCCCGACAGTCGCACCTCCTGTCATGCAACATGTAGAATGAAGTGTGATTGTGGGACTGAGCATACGATTGAGCAACAGAACCATGTTGCAAATGCAGGTTGAGCCCAGAATCATGATCCCAGATTCCCTCTGCACCTACAGTCTTCATTCATGTTGCTGGGAGCCCCGTCAGTTGATGGATCTCCTAGCTGGAGGAGCTATGATACTTGCTGAGATGCCCAGCCTTGGAGGCATGTGATGCACCCCTGCTCCTGGGAGCTCCAAATCCAGCTGGGGCTCCAAGCCGCTGGGGTGCACCATGTGCTTCTGTAGCTAGAAGCCCTGTCTGTTACATAGCTCTGAGCTCTGGAGGGGGCACCCTGTGGTCCTGTACCTGAGAGCTCTGTCAGCTGATCAGGTCTCCCAGCTAGGAGAGCCCACTGTTTCCCCAGCTAGGACCTCTGATCAGCTGACCAGTCCTCCCAGCCTTTAGAGTCTGGGAGCACTGGCCATACCACACGTTCAGTTAAAAAAGTGTGATCAGAACCAGTGACAAAGTTAATGCATGCATTTTGTATAACTTTGATGCGTATGCCTGGTTTCACCATGCCATTAATTGAATGAATCTGTGGCCAGGTCACTAAGATGTGATTAACAAGTTAATCAAGTATTAAGTGTAATGTGTCAGGGGCCAAAGAGGCGCTACAGGGTCAGACTAGGAAGGGCTACAGCATGAGTTCGCTCTCCCACCTTCTTTAGAGTCATCAGAGAACTCTAATGAGGCAGGAAAGCACTCACATGCCACGGCCCTTCCTGGTCTGGCTGTACAGCAGATGTGTGGGGGTCTTCTACCAGCTGGCAGTAGCAGGTCACTGGCAGTTGAAAACCACTGAGGTAAGCTGAGACAGCACCCTTAATCATTCTCAACTGGGGCTGCTACTATATTTAATAAAGTTGGGGTGCTCTGACTCCAAGAAGGTTGGGAACCACTGTTCTGAGTGGTCACTTGTGCTTTTTATGTATTCAGCTAAAGAAGCTTGTTTATTGTAAAGTGTTATGTGAGCTCTGTTAGAATATTTTTAAAGACTCATAATTGAGAGGTCATTTTTTATACAGGATCTGATTTTTTTTCCCTTAATTTTATTCTGTTTCTATATTCCCAACAAGGCTTCTACTTCTAATTTGTTTTGTAGTGTGAGGTACATGAGGATTAACATATTGAATCATTTTGATCTCTTTAACCTTAAATTTTGATTATAATATTTTTAGGCTTTTATCTGCAAGAATTTCTGTTTAAACTAGTATGCTATAAAACAGTGGGAACCACCTTTTCAGCAAATGTGCTACAAATTAGCTCTATACTCTCCTTGCATGCCACGCTGATATCCTTCCTCTGCCCAATCTACTGCTGTACTTTGTCCTCCCAATTCCCCCTCCTTTGCTTTTGGCTTCCTGACTGTTGGCTTCTGTGCTGTCTGTCCCTTCCCTGATCACAGGTGCCACACTTGTGCTGTGGGTTGGCCATTCCTGTTTTAGAAGATGCACATAGTGTAATCTTCAAAAACTATTTTTTATAGCAGCCTGTCTTTTTCCTAATTGTTTTTAAGATTTACCTCCAATTGAGAAAAACTTTTACAAAGAATCACCAACGGTTGCTTCCATGTCACGAGAAGAAGTAGAGAATTGGCGGTAAGATTTTTTTTTATGTGAAAGTAGCTATTTGCTCATGTATTGGAATTGTAAATTTTCATGTAGATAGGCCTTAGTGTGATAGTTTCTAAATATTTTAAAATGTTGTTTCTGGCAACAGTTCTGCAGATCTTTATTTCAGGTTGAATATTAGTTGATAGACATTACTATTTTGGGGGGAAACCCCAGCAGATACTGGCTATTGTTTCTGTAAAAAGTAAATCAATTATCTTTTCCTTTCTTGAATTTCAGAATAACATTATTTTACAGGTTCTTTTTAAAGACACTACTTATGTCTTTTGCATGTGGTGAGACTAAATTGGAGTCTTTTAGTATGCTGTCTTGGTGTGAAGAAAGGATTGAAAATTCAGCAGAAGATTCACTTACCTAAGAAGCAGTGGACTCATCTAGGACTTGAAATTTAAAACAATAACTTCACAAAAAGTGAAAGCTAGGCCACATTACTAAACATGAGTATAGGAATACATTATGGGCATATAGATTAAGAGAATTAGAAAGACTAATGGACAAATCCATGATACAGTTAGCAAGGAACATAAAAGACAGCAAAAAAGCTTTCTGTAAATATGTTCAACATAAGTGAAAAACTGAGGAAAGAGTAGGTCCCTTACTGAATTGGAAAATGAAATTAATATTGGGTGGTAATGAGAAAGCTGAGGTGTTTAATGCTTGCATTCACTTCATTGTTCACAGAGACGGTCCACAGTCATGATGGGCATGGTTGGCAGCAAGGATGAGGGGAATAAATCGGTCTAGGATAGGAAAAGAAGAAGTCAGTGATTACTTAGGCAAGGTGGATATATTAAAATTAGGAGGCTGGATAAGATTCATCTTAAAGTACTCATAAAAGTGGCTGAAGTTTCTTTCAGGGCCACGTTATGGAGGTTAGGTGAGGTCCCAGAAAAGGTATCTTTAATATTCATCTTAAAAAAAAAGAACCAAAAAAAAGACCCTGGAAATTACAGATTGGTCAATCTAACTTCAGCTAGCAAATTGCCCATCAAGCATGATCAGGGGGTGGGGGTGGCCAGGAAGGGACAGAGGCCTGTGTCCCTTATCGGCCCTCCCCGCCACTGCTTCGGGTTGGGAGGGCGCCTTTTGCCCCTTCCCCCCCCCCCCCGCCACTGCTTCGGGTTGGGGCAGTTTACACCCCCCTCACCCACCTGCTTCAGCCCAGGGCTGGGATTGGGGCCGTTCCCCACCTCTTCCCTGCCACGTTGGGCTGGTGCTGGAGCCTGGGCTGCTCCCCATCTTCCCCACCTCCCACCCCTCCCCGCCACTTCGGGCTGGGGCATGGGCCGTTCCTCCACCACTACCACCTCACCCAACTTCAGGCTGGGGCTGGAGCCTGGGCTGTTCCCCCCCCCCCTTCCCCCCACTGCTTTGGGCCGGGGTCCAGGCCGCTCCTCCCCCCCCCCCTGCCACTTCAGGCCAGGGCTGGGGCCTGCAACCACAGTGGCGGTTGCGGCTGTGGCAGGACGCAGCCACCAGTAACCCCCCCATTACCTTCCTGTTCCCCTCCCTCCTCTGTTCCCCACCGCTTCCCCTCCCTGCTGGCTGTTGTTGCGGGGGAGAGGGGGCTCCAGCACCTGGCTCCAAGGAGCAGACCGGGGGAGGGGAGGGGCGAGGTCAGCACTGCTGGCCTCCCCCCCGCTCCATCATCTCTATTATGGCAGCACTCCAGTCCCTGTTGTCCCCCTCTGCCTCCAAGGAGCAGGGGAGGGGGGCCTTGCCCCCTTCTCCTCCAGCCCCTCAGTCCCCACTGTCAAGGCGGCACTCCACGTCTGTCCCTGTCTGTGTAGGGCACTTGGATTGGCTGCTGAGACAGCCAATCAGAGCAAGAATAAAGCATTACAGACAAACAGACTTAGGCTTTTGTAGTATTAGAATACTTGTAAAAACACCGGAGCATGCTATCAAGAAATGTGTTGTTAAGATCTTGGGACTGTAGTTCTCAACCCTTTTAGACTCGAGGTACACCTTCAGAAAATGCCAGTTCTTAGTGTTCACTTATTTTTTTGATTATGGAAAAATAATAGAGCAATTCTTCTGTTGATATGAACTCAAAGACCACAACAGATCAAAATGTTTTCCTGTTTGAATGGATTCCTATTTGAAATCCCTGGGTTTATCGTGAATCATGAGTATGTGTGTTCACCCCATGGACCTGTAAAGGGATCTCGGGGTACCCTTGGTTGGGAATCACTATCCCAGAAAATAACAGTTGATAAAGGACAGGCAGTGTGGATTTGTCAAGAGCAAATCATGCTTTATCCACCAGACTTCTTATATGGTATGTGAGAACAGCAGATGTGATGCATCTCTACTTCGGTGAGTCTTTTGCTACTGTCTCCCATGACATTCACACATGGGTGACTGGTGCCTCCCGAGTCTGTGGGGGCACCAGATTGCCAACTGCGGGGTGGGGGGGGCTCCCCCAGCAGCCCCTCACCAAGCCAGTGGCAAAACCGGAAGTGCACTTCCAGTTTCATGGCTGGTGTAAAACGTGCACCTGCATGCACCCCCTTCTCATCACCAATGTAGAGCTAGTTGGATTGTTCTGCTTGAAGAGTAGTCATCAGTAGCTTGTTGTCTAATTGTGAGAGGATATAGTAAATGGGGTTCTTAAGGGTATGTCTTGGGTATGATGCTTTTCGGTATTTTCCTTAATGACTTGGAAGATTGAATTCAGCATACACTCAAATTTCAGAGGGCACCAAGCTAGGTGCATTTATAGGAGATTAGGATTTAAAATAAACAAGATAGATTGGAGAGAGTGTGTGGAATAAGTTAGATAAAATTCAGTAAGGATAAGTGCAAAGTACCACATTTATCATAAACGCATAAATGTAATTTGGGGAATGGCTACCTAGGCTGCATTATTGCATGAAAGTCCATGGGATTATAGTGGGCAGCAAGCTGAATGCAAGTCAACAATGTTTCTATTGTTGCAGAAAAAGCTAGTACCATATTGGGTTGTACTATATTTACTCTCATTATAATCACCCTTTTTTCCCCAAACATTTTGCCCACCGAAGTCATTACACACACAAGACAGGAAATACTACAGCTAAACAAGGGTGATAATTCTGTTTTCAAATATCCATCTCTACTTCACCAGCTTTTGCAATCTGACAGGCAAGACTGTGGAGTGGAACTACTTACCATGCACATTCCCCACATGGCTGTATTCCGTTTTTAAATAAATAACATATTCAAAAATAGTTTTCTTAAATATGTTTCTTTGGAAAAATAGGTAGTTTTTAAAAGAATAATACATTTTTCAAAATATTGAGGCAGTCTTCAGGAGTATGCATTATATAAGCATAGCTATTACATGTACAAATGCACTTGTATCAGGACTGTCATGCAAGTTGCAAGAAATTATACTCTTTTTCACACTGATAAGGCTTCACCTCAAGTACTGTATCTGGTTTTGTATACTGTGATTCTAGAAGGACTCCAGAAGACAGCAATAGAAATTATTAGAGGTTTCAAACAAGACATTATGAGGAACTGAGATTTAGTCAGGAGAAGAGAAAAATAAAGATGATTTGATAATGGTCTTCAAATATATGATTGCCATATGTATGGTGATCTGTCTGCACAAGGGGACTTAAGAAATAATGGGCTCAAGTAGCAACAAAGAAAATTTAGGCAAGCAAGGACTTTCCAGCTATCAGGGTGACTAAATACTGGAACAGATAACTTAGATTATCTTTGGATGTTTTTAAGATAAATACTTGGATTATATAGTTTTGACAGAGATGATCCTACCTTGAGCAGGGGTTTGGACTAGAACTAGATGGCCTTCTGAATTCCCTTTCAGCTCTACTCTTTCAGGATTTCTGCGATTGTGCTCCGAACTCCCTTTTCATCATTAAAGCCTTCCTTGGCATCTTTCAGGCATTTAGAGAATACCAGGCATTTCAGTTAGGGTACATAGGCATGTCTGTAAGTAACAGAAATTCAGTTAATAGAATTGTGAAAAGGAATGAACCAAGGACTATATATGACTAAAAATGTTTCTGATTCTTAAGGGTGTAGGTTGTAGCCATGTTGGTCTAAGGTCATAGGTAGACAAGTTTCTTTGGGTAAATCTGGTATCTTTTATTAGACCAACTCAAATAGTTGGAAAAATTCTTAGCAAGCTTTTGGGTTTAAATACCCTGTGTCAGGCTGAGGAAGCATCTGCAGTTGGTGTATGCTGCTCTTGGATGGAATGAATAGTAAAGAAGCCGGAGCCTGGGCTGATATGCGTGCAAGACAGGCAGTCAGTGAAGATGTAAATTGAGGAGTCAGTGGGTGAGAGAGAGACTGAGCAGGGTGGGTGGGGACCAACTATGTTCATTCCCCTTTCCCCCTTCTCCCCCCCTCCCCCTCCCCAGCCTGTCTCTCTCACCCACTGACTAAATATATTTAGTGCTTTTTAGACTTTTCTCGTTAACCTAGACAGGGGTGTTGGATTCACCTTGTACCCCAGGCTGGATCTGAACTGTGGGTCTTCTTTTGGGTCAGATTTATAGGGTAAGCAATGGAGACTGTGGCAACAGTGATGGGACAAGCAGCAGCCAGGGGTGGCCAGAAGCTACTGTAGAGGCAGCGGTGACAGCATATCAGTCAGCCAAGGGGCAAGCAGAGTAGTGGCAGCTCAGCTGTCACTCACCTCCTGCCTCCAGCAGCCGTTTCCATTGGGACCGTGGATTCTGTGGCCAGCCCTGCCTCTAAATTCCTTAACCCACTAGCAGCCCTGAGGACTGGATGTAGTGGCTCTCCATTCTCTATATTTGACACCTCGAACCCAGAGTATGGACAGATTTAATCTTTATAATGCATCAAGCACTCCATACAGTAAGGGGATAGATACTACCAGATGATAAAATGATTTAACTTGGTCTACTCTGCCTCAAAATTACCCCAGGAAAAGAGAACAACTTTTGAAGTGTTTCCAGTTACATTTACATGCTTGAGCAGAGTTT